CAATGTATGCTTGCAGCTGTTTCTGTATTACCTTTAGTGAAACTTTACTTACATGGGATATCAAAGATATTGTCTGATGATTTCCGCATTCCGTTGGGTCACCTCTCTTTGGAATGGGCACAAACATGAATCTCTTCCAATCAGTTGGCCAGATAGTTGTCTTCCAAATATCTTGCCATAGATGAGCGAGTGCCTCCTGTGCTGCCTCAATTTGTTGAAAGATTTCAATTTGTATTCCATTAGTTCCCGGTGCCTGAGAATCATGTTAAAACTGAATCCATACACAAAGACCATGCACCTATTCTTTGCCAGGCCAGGAATGTAAGTTACATTTTAGTACTGGATCTTCAGATTTTTAGAAAGCTTTGATTCATGATGCTATTACACTTTGGTTTTTTTGTCTTTCTGATTTTTAACAGCATAAACTGAAGCACAGCAGTGTAGTTAACAACTCCATAACAATCAGAAATAGTACAATGGAGACTGAATTTATGTCAAGACTCAAAATAGATTTAGGTTGTGGTGCTTGCTGTATGATAAACCACTGAACCACAAGGTTGGTTTGAACCACGTTACTGGTTCAAACCTACCAACCACTCTTCAGAAACCCTATACAAGGTCACTACAAGTAGGAACTGACAGATGTCATTTAAGAAGCAACAGCAACAACCAAACACCACAAGGAGCCCTGGTAACATAGTGGATTACAAACTGGGCTTCTGACTACAAGGTCAGCAGTTCAAGCCTACCAGTAGCTCCACTCCGCAGGAGAAAGATGAGGTTTTCTGTTCTTTAAAGATCTACAGCCTCAGAAACTCTAAGCAGTGTCTCTGTAAGCTGGAACCGACTCCCCGGCACACCACCACCACCACCACTGGTATAAGGCACAGCCTTCTGCAACTCAGGTGCTCAGAATTTAAGCTCTAATAGATTCCTCCTTCTGATCATGGATTTTTATTTAAAATCCTTTGATCACACTTAGGTTGATATGCTTTCTTATGCACAGACTGGTTGATGGCTCCTTTAGGTGGCTGTTTATTTTAGGGCAAACATTTGAGATACCAGACACAATCCTTTCTGAGATCTGGGCACCATCTGATTCTGAATATATAACTATATAAAACCATCAAATCTTCAGTGATTAACTCATAGGATAAGTATTGAGTGGGAGCTCCTTGTAAGAATGACTTGTTCTTTGATTAGGCCTAGGCCTTAAGGTGGGAGCCCAAACCCATTTATAGAATATATCTTGCTTCGATATAGCTTTTTGTTGTTATTGTTAAGTGCTGTTGAGTCGATTCTGACTCATAGCGACCCTGTATAGGGTTTCCGAGAGGCAACTGGTGAGCTTGAACCGCTGACCTTGTGGTTCAAACACACCTTGCTTGGACGTCCAGCACATTAACCCACAGTGCCACACCAGGACTCTAGATACATCTTACAATAGTTCATTTCATGAGTAGCATTTTAGCTTCCTGAGAAATTCCATTTTAAGTAACATCCATACAACATTTGATGATTCTAATAATAACAGTATCAATAATCTAGATTTAAAATATTAATGAGAAAAATAAAAAGGAAAGCTTTTTGGTTAAAATACGTGGAAATATACACTTACACAAATTAATAAAACTTAAGTCTCACTATCCTGGCTTCCAAGCCCTCTGGCTGTACTTCTTCCAACACAGATTTGTTTGATCTTCTGGCAGTCCCTGGTACTTTTAATATTCTTTTCCAACACTATAACTCAAATGCATCTTCTTTTTCCAACTTTTAAATGCATATGTTGAGATAAGGGGCTTGGGGTCAGGTGTCCCTTAGTCCTCAAACTAACATTTTTGCTCTTCAGCACTTTAAAGAGGTCTTGTGCATTAGAGGGTGGCAGCTCTGGTGCAGGGGGGACCCCAGAGCAGGAAGCCAGGTAAAGAGTAGCTATACTTGTCCACTCCCACTCCCACCTCCAGGCCCAAGGGGCCTCCAACCCCTAGCCCATTGGCAGGGGGCTCATGCCGACGCCCCATTTTCTGTCTTCTGCCGCTTGGGATCTGTTTCATCCTCCTCTTCAGCAGCTCTCTTCAGCGCGGACCCTTCGTCCTCCTCCTCTTCTTCTTCCTCGTCGTCTTCTTCTCCTTCATCCTCCTCCTCTCCATCCACAGCGGTTTCTTCTTCTTCCTCCTCAGCTCCATTCTCCTCTTCCTCCACCGCTTCTTTCTTCCGCTCTTTCAGGCTGGCCTTCTCCTCCACCTTCTCTTTCTTCTCCTTCAGGTCCTTGGCGCTTAACTCGGCCGCTGCCTCCACGCTCTTCTCGGACATGGTGCCGGGGCCGGGGCCGGGGCCGGGGCTGGCAGGGAGCCAGAGTCCCGGGACAGGGACAGAGGGGCCCTGGATGGCAGAGGGTAGCCGTGGCTGGAATCTGGCGCGGTGGCAGTAGCGGCGGCGACAGTGGCAGCGACGGCCGCTCAGCAAGCTGGATCTCTGGAAGCTGACCAGCCGCCTCCACTTCATTTTTAGAACTTCTAATTTTCCTAGACTCAGACTTCATACATTCCATGTTCCTATTATTAATGAGTTATTAACATC